CTCTCGCTTCGCGGTAAATGCTTTTGAGACGGGTGATAAGGGGCTATTAGATGCGACATCTGTCCGTCCCTGTTTCCACTTCGATACCACTCCATCCTTTCCCGAACTGCAGGGTCAACATTCTGAGAGAATTGCTGAAACTCTTCATCTGAATCCATATCCGTGTCGCTTTCCTCCCCTCCACTTGACGAATTTGTTGCGCCGTCACTTTCTTCGCCCGAAGACTCTGTTTCAGACCCGTCATTTCCGGACAGGTCGGTTCCGGACTCGCCATTTTTTTCTTCCTCCCCCCTCTTCTTTTTTCCCTCCCTCCTCTTCTTTTTTTCCTCCTCCTCCTTCTCTTCTTCCTCTTTCCTCTTCTCTTCTTCCTCCCTGCTCTTCTTTTCTTCTGCCTCCCCCTTTTCTTTGCTTTTCCGTTCCTTCTCCTCTTGCCCTTTCCTCTTCTTCTCTGCCCTTTCTCTGTCCTTTTCATTTGTTTCATCTGACGTGCCTTCCTTCTCTGAATTCAGGTACTCAAAGACCGATGGAGTTCTGTGAGGAGTGGAGTAAGCTCGTTTGGTAGGTTTTTGGCGAAAGTGCTCCTCTCGTGGCTGAATAACTTTGTCTTCATCAATGCATCCTTGGAGCCAGGCTTCACCCAGAATACAGAGCCCTTTCTGTTTAGCTCCCTTAAATATAGCTGTTTCCCCCCCTTTATTGTCGTCAGATGACAACAGGACATTCCATTTGTCATCCTGTATCTTCCCAGAATTCCCAATTTCCTGGGATAGATAAGCTATGACCCCCTTGTCTTTGAAGAACATCTTAATGTCTTGCTGCTTAAGAGCCTTGTTCGTTTTGCCTTTTTTCCCGTGAACCGAAAACCCGCCTGAGATGGCGATGACAAGGTCTTTTGGGGGCTCCATGTTTGACAAATGCTCTTGACGTGGCGGATAGGCATTGTCCTTGTCGATCGATAGGAGACTACGCAGCCGTTGTACTTATAATACGCGTTTATCTGGTCAGTTCTCGGAAAACAAGACATAATTTAGCCCACGGGTCTAAATTGGTCTGTCTAATACGGAGCGACATTTTTAATTAATGCAATACGAAGGGGGACCAATTAAAGCAGCACCAGTGGAATTAAAGTCTAATTAAGGGATAGCCTGGCCTAAAATCATGGCCCGATCTAAACATAACTTGAAGTCAAACTATGGTCACTCACAGTAGAATATGAACTTCCCTGTGATGCTCGAGCTGTTAGGTCACGCAGCTCTGTACTTGAAGACCGGTGTTTTTTCCGTCGCAGGCGAGCCGACCCTGCGCTTACCGCCGCTTTGCTTACAGAAGTATGTGGTCTTGGGTGAAACTCGGTTTCGCGGTACTCAATTACTCTGTCCTCCATTGCCGCTACGGTTCCTTGACGAATTTTCTTCTCAAATTGGACGTCTCCACACACTTTTTTTGCGTTAGCAACTAAATTCAACCCACGTGAGTGAGCTAGCTACTCACCAGTGACGACCATATT